TCTGCACCTTCTGTCTTCTTTCTCATGCATATTCCATTGGAGGTCTTAAGGAGACACACAGAAGAAGGATGCTGTTGACACCATGAAAGCACATGAAGCCCTTACGTTCAGAGCCAAAATGTTTAAAAGGCTCTACAATTGTGAGCATTTCTTATTTTCATCTATGTTTCCCATTCATTTAAACAATATTTCACTATTGTACATTTCTCTGTTTTCTTTTCTATGTATATGAAATCACTCGTGCTGTGTAACCTTATTGGTGAGATGTAATCTGTTTGCATGGAAAAAGACTTTGTGTTAGCGCTGCACTGTACACTTTTGTGTTTTATAAAAAGGAGGGTGGTATCACCTAAACCATATAAAGCACTTGTGTTGTTCACCTACTTAATAAATATCCCTGTAATGCAGACTACAAGTTAGGGCATTAAGTTGGCATATGAAAAAAGGATACAACTGCAGATTATTAGCAATTCAATAAATGCTCACTGTGAAAATACAAGTTACTGCACACATAATTGAATTTTCAAATGCCATTTTTTGATCTTGTTCTAGAGTTTTGAAATATTACAGTACTATACTAACATTACAATATTACAATAATTATCTGTAGCCATCTTTGAATATCTCTATAATGCAGTCCATAAGTTATGGTATTGATTTGGTAAATAGAAAAAAAGGATAGCAATCACAGATAATTAGCAATTCAATAAATGTTTGAGGTTAAAATGTAACTTACTAGCACACATCATTCCATTTTCATAAATTCAGCCCTGGTACATTCATTCTTTCATTCATTTTCACCTTTTGAGTCTCTGCTACCTACTGTTCTGAGAGCTTGTGCTCAGTTACAGTGTTATTATTATTTATTATTATAATATTTATAGAGCGCCGTCAAATTCCTCAGCGCTTTACAATGGGTGGACGAACAGACATGTAGTTGTAACCAGACAAGTTGGACACACAGGAACAGAGGGGTTGAGGGCCCTGCTCAATGAGCTTACATGCTAGAGGGAGTGGGGTAAAATGATACAAAAAGGTAAGGATAGTATTAGACTAGTGACAGTTGCAGAAGAGGAATCAGTCAGGAGCTATTAACAGTTTAATTGATACGCTTTTATGAAGAAGTGGGTTTTTAACTATTTTTTGAAGGAGTGGAGACTGGGTGAGCATCTAACGGAGGAGGGAAGCGAGTTCCACAGGAACGGTGCAGCCCTTGAGAAATCTTGAAGGAGAGCATCAGAGGTGGGAGTACGGACAGAAGATAGACGTAAGTCTTCAGCAGATAGTAAGGGCCTAGACGGGACATACTTGTGTATAAGGGAGGATAGATAGGTAGGAGCGGCATTATGTAGAGATTTGAAGGCAAGAACCAGAATTTTAAATTGAGCTCTATATTTTATAGGAAGCCAATGTAGGGACTGACAGAAGGGTGAAGCATGGGAGGTGCGGGCGGACAGGAAGATGAGCCTCGCCGCCGCATTCATTATGGACTGTAACGCCGCAAGTTGGGAACACGTAAGACCACTGAGAAGCGGATTACAGTAGTCAAGGCGAGAAAGGACAGTGGAATGGACCAACACCTTAGTCGCATCTGGTGTTAAGTAGGGGCGGATGCGCGCAATGTTTTTGAGATGGAAATGACAGGATTTGGCGATAGATTGAACATGAGGCTTGAAGGAGAGGTTGGAGTCAAAGAGAACACCTAGACAGAGGGGAAGAGGGACATGTAGGAGGTTTCGTAAATCCACTGCTTATGCAATTCCTCTAAGAGGTTTTCCTTCTTGGGAAGGATCGTGGACTTCCATCTTCTTGCTATCAATTGCTGCGCCGTCAAGGCTATATGTAAGGTCAACTTTCTAGCGTGTTGGGGCATTTCTCTAGGGAGATCCAGCAGTAGGCACACCAGTGGGGTGAATGGGGGAGAGCTTTGTGTGGCATCTCGGATCAGTGCATGGACTTCAGACATATATGGTGCATTGAGCCCTCTGCTGCGTGGCATCTCCAGCAAAGTGGTGAGGTGGAGGGAAAGATCTTGTGCAGTCTGGTTGGCACTAAGTACCAATAGTATAAAATTTTGCGGTGTTGTTCAATGTGAGAGGTTGATTTAAGTAGCTTGAGAGGGTCAGACAGGATAGTGTCCCAGGATGTGGGAGGCACTGCACAGCCTAGATCGCTTTCCCATTGTTGGGCATATTTTGTGGTGGAGAAGTGGTTGTGTTTTGCTATGGAGCTGAGACACATGGAGATCGGTTTACATTGAGGTAGTAATCTTGCAGTTATACACATTTGTTCCCATGCAGTTAACCTATTAGCATCTATAGAGGTGTCTAAGAAACGTTTTTCTTCTTTAGAGATATAGGAGTGTAGCTGGAGGTACGAATACTGTGAGGACTGTGGGAGTGCGTATTTGTCAGCTAGGCTCGTGTAGTCTAGTAGTTTATGGGCATCAAATAGGTGGTAAAGGTGCGTTGCGCCTCCTTTGTGCCACGGTAGGGCATTAAATGTGGGGATGATGTAGGGGGGTTGCAAGGGAGAGGCTAGGTGTGCTGCCTAACCTAGGTCTGTACTTATCCTAGATTTGAAACAGCAGTATCTGGGGGGGAAGTGTCAGCAAGTCAGGCCTGAGATGCAACGGTGTCCAAAGCAGGTGCAGAATTCAATGGTTAAATGGTTATCTAAGTAATCTCACTCTAGGGAGACCCATTGTGGTTTGGGTTCAGAGATTATTTGGGGGATAGCTGCGTGATAGTAGTACTGCCGCGTGATAGTAGCCCTGGACATTGGGTAGTGCAAACCACCCAGTTTCTTGGGGGCCTGTAAGATATTCATGGCCACTCTGGCTTTGCCTCCTGCCCATACAAACTTCCCCATATTAGCCTGAATGGTCTTAAAGTAGGTGGGAGGAAGGCAGAGGGGAATGGTGCGAAAGAGGTACAGCAGCCTCAGCAGTATTGACATTTTGAGTGTCACGATGCGGTCTGTCCAGGACAGGTGCATTGGAAACCATTGTTTCAGTAGTTGACTGCACTTGTTCCAAACTGCAACATAGTTTGCTGACATAAGGTTTGCAGGATTTTTAGTGATTGTCAGGCCTAGGTAGCGTATGGATTCAGTTCTCCAGTCAAAGTTGTATGTGTGTGTGAGGGTGCATAATACCGGGGCAGGGATGCCAATAGGCAGGGCCTGTGTCTTGGCCGCATTAACTAAATAGTATGAGAACTGTCCATAGTCTTGTGGGTTTGTTACGTACAGTAGTACATCGTCCGCGAATGCGCTAATCTTAATCTGCTTGCCCCCTAGATGTATTCCCTGTATCTTCTCATTTGAGCGTATGTGGTTCTAGTGCGAGGACGTATAAAAGAGGGGATAAGGGGCACCCCGTCTCGTTCCGTTGGTAATCGGAAAGGTGGGGGACAGGAAACCTGCTTGGTTTACCTGTGCTGAGGGCGAGGAATAGAGTGCAAAGATTTGTTTGATTATTTTTGGGGGGAATCCAAATTTCTCCAAAACCTGTTTCAGAAAGACCCAGCCTAGGCGCTCAAAGGCATTCTCCGCGTCCAGCGCGAGGAGGATACCCCCTCGTCCAGGCCTCCCAAGCTCCCTCTGCACCAGGGCCAGTTTTCGGGTGTTGTCTAAGCCCTGCCTGCCCCTCACGAAACCTGTCTGGTCGTCATGTATCAAGTGTGGTAGGATTGTGCTCAGTCTATTCGCAAGGATTTTTGCGTAGATGTTTGCATCCGTGTTAAGTAGGAAAATAGGTCTGTAGTTCTTGCACAGGTCCGGGGATTTGTCAGGTTTGGGGATTGTTACTATCGTAGCTAGTAATACTTCAGGAGGCAGACTACCAGTAATTGCCGTCTGCTGGTACATTTTTAGGAGTTGCTGCGCCAGTGTGTCTCCGAACTCCTTACAGTAAGCATTGGGTAGTCCATCTGCTCCTGCAGACTTCCCCGGGGGGGGAGCTGCTTAATAGTACTAATGATTTCTTGTACAGTGGCCCTTCGTTAGCCCTTCGTTAGTTTGGGCAGTGTAATGTCTGCTGGGTATTGGGCTGTTTCCGAGGGTTGAGGGTGGGGCCTAGTGTCATCCATGTGGAGGTTATATAAATTAGAATAAAAGGTTGCAAATGTGTTACTGATTGTTTGTGGGTCTATGTGTTTAAGATAGGAGGACCTTTTAATAAAAAGCCCTCTGACTACGGCTTTATGGGCGCGCCACACCATGCTGTCTGTGACCTGCCCTGTCCCGTTCATTTGGAAGTATTCCATCAGTGCGGTCTGGATCGAATCTCTAAAGGCAGCCTCTGCCAAGAGTGATTCGTTAAGGCGCCATTGCCCTCGCCCTCTTAATTGAAAGTTATCATGAAGGTGTAAGTGTACTGGGCCATGGTCCGACCATGTAATTTCCCCTATCCTGCATTCCCTTAATTGTGCTAGTGTGGCAGAGAAAAAAGTGTCTATTCAGGTATATGTGTTGTGGACTTTCGAGTGAAACGTATAATCAGCCTGTGTGGGGTGTAATGTTCACCAGGCATCATATAGTCCGTGTTGTGCCAGTAATTTGGCTATAGCTTTACATGTGTCGGCTATGTGTCATTTCCTCCTACCCGTGGGGCGGGTATTTTTAATAAAGTTAAAATCCCCACATAGGATCAGGCCCCCTATGGCGAGGAGGAGAGTTTGAAGGTAGCGTTTGGTTTCTATATTAGGAAAATACGCCGCAGCCAGGGTATACATTGCCCTTAGGATCTATGATTTTTCTATAGAGTGTAAGGGACGTGTCTATATGGATGAAAATTGAGACTCCTTTAGTTTTGGTATCAGAAAGGGTGTGGAAATGGGTGGGGTAGTATTTGTTATATATATACTCAGAGTATGGTCTCTTTTAAAATGGGTCTCCTGCACACATGCAATGTCAACTCTTTTTCAGGTCTCTGAGTAGGAGACTCCGTTTACTGGGCGTGTTAAGCCCCTTGACATTAAGGGTCGTAATTTTCATAAATGGCTAAGTGTCTGGTTGCTGCGGCGGTGGCCCAGGGGTATGGTGTCCCTGTGGTTGGTGCTATGTCCTCTTTGGTGGAATTGGTGATGCCGGGTGGTAGTGGGGGGATGAGGTAACTTTAGGAGGGGGGAAAAATCCCGCAACTGCGGGTGAGACAACGCTCAGCAAGTCCGACCAATAGTGTGGTCTGGTTCTCCTAGACTCACAAAGAGTGGGGGGCGGCTTCGAGTGTCTCCATTCAGTAAATAGAGTCACTCTAGCCTTAGGGCCCAGTCGGGGCTGCTGGGAAGCCATTGGTTTAGTGAGGCAGCATTTCTCATGCCATGACTGTGCTGCAGCGTAAGCTCATGCTTACGGTGGTTTGATCCACTATTAAAGAGTGTTAAGGCTGACCGCAGATCACGGAGGCAAAGTAAACATGAGATACTTCTTGACCATAGAAAAATATGCACATAAACATATAAACCTTAAAACATTAAACAATAAGACATCTCTCTCAAGCGAAGATATATAGTGTGTAATTAAGTATAATGCCCTCCTTGGGCGGGCGTCCGTCCCAGGGTATGCCTGTGTTTTGCTAACATGGGCCCTTCTAGGATATTTAGCAATCTAACCGTAGTGGGTGTTGGCTATAAACAGCTGAATGTACTACTCTGAGGTCTAACCCTAGAAGAGTATATATATAAAAACCTTGAGTCGTCGCATATGCTAAGGCGTAGTATGTGCCTTGGTATAAGGTGCCCTACAACTAAAGGTTTTCTGCTTTGAAGCATGACTATGCTCAAGTGCTATGCAATTGCTATTTTTATTTTTAATAATTTTTTTTCCTTTTATTTTTATTATTATAATATTTTTTTATGCATTCTGTTTTACTGCTATACATTCTTATGAGCGGTTTTGCTAATCGGGCAATGCCGGGTTCTAACTTTAAAGTCTAGCACATTATAACTAAATGTACAGCTCGCATGAAACATAAGTGGGAACCATAGAACATCTCTCTAGTAAGATCATAGAATGTGCATCGATATACCAAGAGGTCTGTGTGGGTAGCTGGGATTAACTCCTGGAACAGGTCGGTCAGGTATTTGTGCAGTTCTGTGGCTTGAACTGATTCTGGTATGCCTCTGAAACGAAGGTTGTTCCTTCTGGACCTATCTTCCAGATCTGCGACTTTACGTTTCTGGGTCACTAACGAGGTCTCTAGTTCTTGTAGTTTGTCTGCAAGGCTGTTATGGGCCACTGCAAAGTCATCCAGTGATTTCTCTACATGGGCTGTCCTGATCCCAATCTCTAACAGCTTCTTTCTGAGATCTGTGGTAAGCTCATAAATTTGCACTTTGTCAGAGAGCTCTGCCATCAGGGCTCTCATCCCTGCAACTGTGAGGGGGCCTTCCTTTGAGGCTGAGCTCGTAGAGGGTGGGGGGGAGGGTTAAACCTCGCCTGAGCGCTGGTCGCTGCCATCTTGAGCCTAAGCTTCTCTATTTTTTCCCGCCGGAGCTCGTGTGAGGAAGAAGGAGGCTTTCTCCATTCTGGGCGTTTTCCCCTTGCTTCTATGTGCCATGGTGGGGGTAAGTATACTGCTTGCTGCCGTTGGGTGGCTTGTAGTGCCAATTATTCGTGCCCCTAGAGACTCGGGCTGCGGGAGCTTCACATAGATGCGGCCGGTCCCATCGAGCTCCAAGCCACGCCCCCCGAAATGATGCATTTTTTTATTATTTTTTTTTTGTCCTACCAGAAAAGTGTAAGCCTTTCTCCAAAGAGAAGATCTCTGCTTCACTAAAACTTATGTAATTAAGAGTATATATATAAAAACCTTGAGTCGTCGCATATGCTAAGGCGTAGTATGTGCCTTGGTATAAGGTGCCCTACAACTAAAGGTTGCATTTAATTAACTAATGCAAAATAAGTACAATAAAAATACTGTTAGTTGACCATTATGCATACAGTGAATATTAATTGCTAGCTGACCCACCATGTGAATAAGAAAAAAGAGAATATAAAGATGAATGTAGTGAATGTAAAATAAAATTCACTAAATTAATTAATTTAAATAAATACTGCCTAGGCATTCAGAAAATACTGCACGCAGGCTGTAACAGTTGTAAGTTGAAAAGTCTATAATTCAGAATCAATGAACATTCTCCAACACTATATAGAATGGAAAGAGGCAGGCAAACCCTTTTGACCCTAAAGCTTGCATCTCTTTTGTTAAACAATTGCAGAACAAGCTCTGGGCAACATATATAAACCAGAGTTTGTGCAACACTCATGCACTAAAGTCCAGGATCTACATTAGAGCCAAAATGGGAAAGGTAATCTATGAATGGAAATTCTAAGTACATAAACAAAGTATTAATGTATTATTATATAATTTTTTTTTATCTTGTGTATGAAGAGGTAAAATTATTTGTTTAATTACATAGTAATTATTCAATACTCTTGTTAAAGAAGGCACTTTTTTGAGTAAAAAAAAAAGTAGATGTGTGGAGGATATCAAATTTCTTTCTAAAAAAAACCTAGAAGAAAGTCATCAAAAATGCTTGGTATGTACAAAAAAAGTAAACTCTGTATTTTTTAGTAAATTAGAAATTCCATTAGAAAGGAAATAGGAAAAAAATATTACTTTCTTAATATTTATTAGAGTATTTCTTCTTTAGCATAGATTTAGGTCCCCCATTAAAATAAAAAAGAGTAAAAAAAAAAAAAAACTTTAAACTTATCTGTAATATAATACTAGGACTATCTCCATGCATTTTGTTTTACACAAATGTAGCTGCCATTTCTGTCTATGTGCATGGTGTATGTAGTTTTCAATAAATACCTGTTGAATTTGTCAACTCAAATATATGAAAACACTAAAGGTAGTTTGCTCAGATGTTTGCAGGTGATGTGTGCATGCACAAGTAAACCTTTTTATAGTGTACTGGTTTAGATACTATGGTAATGTACTAGTTTAGATGCTACGGTAATAAACTGGACTTGAATTATGTCAGATTTGAAAAATTGTAACCACCAAGTAGTGCTCATCACCAGTGGAGGAGCACATGGGTAATGTGAAAGTTAAAACGCAAATGGACCATAGAATCTGCTGAAACTTTTCATCTGCAACATTTACCAGCTTTTGGCACTAACAATCTTGAATGGCTGCTTTTTACCATCAAAGATGCAAAAGAGTCAACTGTTCCTTTTTACATGGATTTACTTTAAGCGTGGTACAGTCCTTGCCTAGGTTATTAACTCTTTGTCAATATCCAATCCTCTTGCAATGACATTGTGAGGATTACTAATCTCGGAATCAATCGATTGCTTCTCATAGAAAATGATTGTGGACCTACAGTGCATACAGGACAATATCCACGCTTTATCAAATTGATGCTTGGAGAAGCAATTAATTCAGTGCTTCTCTGGAAAAGTATGGTTAGGAGGATAATACAGCTTACAGAGAATCTTCAGTTAATTTACTTGTTGTGTGAGCAAATACAGTTTTTCCTTTTTACACTTTATTGAATTTATTTCCACAATTTGACTGAACTGTTGTTTTGATTCAGTTTTTTTTCCCCTTTCACTTTTGGTTTCAGATCATCTTCTACGAGGACAAGAATTTCCAGGGCCGTTCCTTTGAGTGCAGCTCTGATAATTCAGACTTGCACTCACATTTTAGTCGTTGCAATTCCATTAAGGTGGAGAATGGAAACTGGATTGTATATGAGCGTGCAAACAACCAGGGGCACCAGTACTTCCTGAAGAGGGGAGAGTATCCTGACTTCCAGCACTGGAACGGCTTTAATGATTCCATCAATTCCTGCCGAATAATTCCACAGGTGTGTAGAGATCCTTAGCTCTATGTAAAAGTAGTCATCAGTGGTGTGAATAATAATTCTTAGCGACATTTCTTCAAACTCTATTTGTAACAATAATGACTAACATATATGTGAGCGTACTGACTAATATCAAGTTACAACTGAAAAATATGAATCAAACATAAATATTGCTAACTGCATGAAATTTGTTAATTGCTACATTTCAAAAAATGTTCTCCTTATGACCGCTTCATTTCGGGCTTTAGAAAACAGAATAACAAACACTATCAATTCTTTCTGAAAAAAAAAATAGAATTTATTTTTACTCTCACCATGTTTTGTCTTCAGACAGGCCTAAATATTCGATTTTTAAATCCCAGATTCATTGGCTTTTTAAAACTCTGAATGCCAATGGTCCTTTGAATACTTAAGGCTTATAGTTATTCTAACAGCTTTGAAAATCATGGTTTAAAATGTAAATAGACTGCCAGCTGAGAAAACCAGTTGACAAGTGGAGAATTGACATTTTAGGCTAAAATGGCAAAAATCTACAATTCAGTTAATTCTCCAGTTACGATTGTTGGCATACATTTAATGAAGTTTCACTGATTTCAGTAGTCATATGCACTTTGGAAAATAAATCTTCTCACTTTATATGTATAATTGACTGATATGAATGGGTTATTTTAGTTAATATTTTAAAACTGTAGATCTTTTTAACTTCAAAATAGAAACCACTGAAATATGTTACTTTTTAAAAACAAGGTGTCTAAATATGTTGTTTATGTGTTTTTTATTATTTGTTTTGCAGTATCGTGGGGCCTTTAGGATAAGAATTTACGAGAAAGAAGATTTTAGAGGTCATACATTGGAGTTTACTGAGGACTGCCCAAAGGTTCAGGAGGAATTTAATTATAATGACATCCATTCATGCAATGTACTCGAAGGCCATTGGATCTTCTATGAGCTGCCAAATTACAGAGGAAGGCAGTATTATCTTAGACCTGGAGAGTACAGGAGATTCAGTGAGTGGGGTGCCATGACTCCAATGGTTGGTTCCTTCAGAAGAGTTCAGGATATATATTAAATATACATTGTTTCTATCTGAACTATTTTTTTCTCATTTTGACTTTTAATAAAACATCCTGATATTAAAAGTTGAACTTGTCTCTTTTTTTAACTAATTGTGCCATCTAGTTAATTGGAAATGACAATAATACATTATATTTTCTATTCATAAAATATTACATGTTCCACATGTATTTTAGGGTGGATGGAACTAAATTGAAGTCATACTTAAAAAAAAAATTTTTTTTACATGCAGGTTTTTTTAAAAACATGAAAATTATTATTAGTGATAACCAATTACTTTTTTTTTCTCAAATTGAGGCTATAAATGAGGCTAATTTGGCTATCTAAGTATTTAAACTTAGTTTTTTTAAGATTACTATCTCTAATTTAAATATAGCAATGTATAAATAACAAATGTTTCACCTTCCCTTTTCAGAGTAGAGGGGAGCTTGCCCTGTTGCTATAGGACTGACTGAATATAATGGTATTTAGAGTGCACTTTGCAAGTGTGTAATTGTATTGATAGTGTGATTGCATTACATAGATAAGGATACTAGACACATTCTTTGTGCTGCATCACTTTACTGTGTCCCCATGGAGACTTTGCTCTATAGAAAGTAGATTGCCTACATATCTGTCATAAACTAAATATGGGAGTGATCTCATTGTCTGTTATAAACCAGGATGCACATCTAATCAAAGATGCATTTATTTATATAATAAGTAATACATACACCAGGCAAAAACAATTAGACAGAATCAATGAACAAAAAGTGTGCAAAATGCTAAATATACGCTATCAAGTTAAGCACAAAATAAAAAATAGCCTACCAGGGCAGTACATAGGCCACAAAGACCCTCAATGTTCCAGCACAAGTGATGCCTTTCTTAAGGCCCCTTGACATAATGTGTCCAACAGTGGAAAACCAAAGCCAACTCCCATACAAAATACTCCAAGTCTTTCTTGAAAACACAAGTGACTGTCCAGGATGAGGTCTCTTTTGCACTGCCACGTACTGCTACCTCAGACACCCTGTTCACACAAGGCCCTCCCAAATATTGAAAGGCACATAACTGGTAATGTAACATCCCTTTGTATCACTATTTACCCAGACAAAGCCATGGTAGCACCCCTCACACTATCAGAGCAATTTTAATCTTAAAACCGGATAAAGAGCCAGGCCTCCAAACCTCCTCCATGTCGATTATACAGTTAAGCAATGACTTCAAACTTTTCACTAAAATATTACCTAATAGACTCCAACAATTTCTTCCCTTTATTTTGCACCCAGAACAACTGGGATTCACTAGTGGCAGACAGTCAATTAAGGGAATCAGGCCAGTGATAGCAGTCGGCTCCTTGTATGATAATAATGTAAATAAACACCGATCAGTTTTAATCGGTTTAGATGCCCAGAGAGCTTTTAACCAAATGACCTGGCCTCACCTTTTTAGAATACTGAAGTATAAGTTTAATTTGTTTCCCAATTTTCTATTTCATGAGTGCCTTTTATATCCAACAATATAATAAATGAACATTAATGGCTTGGACTCTGTCCACTATAACCTATTCCTTCAACTTAGCCCTAGCTCCACTTATCAGATATAGATTACGCTATGTATATAAAGGAAATCCAACTTGGCCACCATACAATCAAACTGACAGGCTTCGCATTTGATCTCCTGCTATATCTCTCAGATTCAAGAAAATCCCTCCCTAGTACCATTGACCTCTTTGATTGTTAAGTCTCAATGACAGGCCTCCAAATTAACTGGTCCAAATGACAGTTCTGAGATCAGGCTCGGGTCCCCCAACACAATTAAGGTCACCATCCATCTTACTGCGGAAAACCTAAAATTTCAAGTATATGTTAGTATTAATTCCAAAGCTATGTCCATCTTGTATTAATATGACCCCACTTATTGCTCAGGTAGGACATCTCTCTTGCTGGGCACATCTTCCTCTCTTGATATCAGTATGATTGACTCTTTTAAAATCAGTCATAGTGCTAAAGTTCTCTATCCTCTACAGGAGCTACCTCTCACTTAGATGAGTGCATGCTTAATCAGCACTTCTCCAGGTTCCACTGTAGGCAAGTTAGAGATCACATAACTTAGCTATTGGGTATACCATTTCATATTCCTCCATTGCTGGCAGTACTGGTGGCAGAGGGGTTGGGGTGAGTTACTAAACTAGCTTATACGATCCTGGATGCTGCATGAAAATGTATATTACACCACTAGATTGGTCGTTCCCCTAATACATTTTCACTACTCCATATTAAACTTTCCTATTTATTTAAAATGGACTGAACTGAAACCTCATTAAATAAAAACACATTGACAAAAAAGTTTTTTCTCAACTGGCAACCTTACGTTAACTCTTTAGATAGAGCTTCCCAATCCAAAATTAAAGCTACTTTCAACTAGAGTTATAGTGGACAAACCCCTTTTGTATAACAAATCAATCATCTTAAATATAACATATGGTACTTGTAACGGAACGCCTGGAACCCCGACTGGGTACCTTCCGTTGACGGATGCTCCTAGTGCTTCCCAAGGGCAGACACCATAACCACTGCCGCAGCATGGTTGGGGTCTCGCGGTCTTCCACCCACTCTGGACCCAAGACCATGATCCAGCTTCCAGTAGGTAGACCTCTCTTATAATCCAGATAGCAGGAACAAGCTCTTACAAGAGCTTACTCTGGGGGGTATAGTGATTATCGCAATCTCCAGAGTGTAGGTAGTTCTCCAATATCCCAAACATGAACCAAGATTTCATGAAGGGTAGAACAGGTCTGTTTAATGAGCACAAAGGCATTTCTTTTATACAGTTTTCCCCACAAGGTTACCACCCACGTGGACCTTGTGGAGCAAAGGACACAAAGTCTCAACAGCCAATCAACACAGTATTGTACAGTTAGACACTCCCAGCTAATGTACACAAACCCTCCCCTCTGCCTGTAATACAATTACCAAACACAATGGACTAACCCAATTACCACAGGCAGAAAATGTCTAGTTTTACCCAAAGTCCAGAAACAGCCTAAAACAACAACATATCCCCACAAATTATACATCCAAAAATCACCCAGATCAGGGCTATCCAGGGATGTATAAGGGATATATGTATATGGGATGGCGTCCTAGTTGTCATATATTCATCCGCTTATAAAAATGTGGTTAATGACATTTACTGTCCTCACAGGAAAAGTTTTGCCAAGCAGCAACCAAATCCACAGAAGGGTTAATGCTGAGCAGCAATTATGCAAATGGGAACCTGGTAACTGTTTTGGGGTCAAAGGCCGGTTACAGCCTATCAGATCTAGAGGAGGGGTATTTAGGCCCAGTTCTCATCCTGCTCAGTGCCCTGTCGCGGTTTCCCTTGTGGTTGTCCGAGAGCGCGTTATTGATTCTGGTAATTCTGATTATTTGACTTTGGCATTGTTTTTGACTTCCCTGTTTTCTGGCATCCCTGACTCCTGGCTTTTCCTTATCGTTGTGTCTCTTTCTGTTTCCCTTGACCTCGGCTATTCCTGACTATTCTTTGGTACGTTAGTCCGGCCATTCTAAAGTCCGGTATACGTTACCTATCAGTCCTCTGTGTTATACAATTCTACGTGCTGGATCATTCTGTAATCCTGACACTAGTGCGAGGAGAAGCAGCGCGGAGACACCGGTAACGTGTGGAGTATATTGAGGGCAGCGCTAGCAGTCATGCAGTGTCCCTGAAAACAGAGGTGCCTACTAGACTTGGGCATTCGTATTCGTCCGAATTGATTTTCGTCCGAAAATATGCATTTTCTTCCATTCTTACGAATACCGAATAAAGAATGGGTATCCAAACTAAAGAACGAACAAACGAATGGCCGTTTACCGAAAATCTTTCGTTTGTTCGTTCATTCGGCATTTTGAATTACACTCTGTGCGAATTGACACAGCACACTGTGTAATTCAAAAAGCCGAACTAATAACCGAATGAATAACCGAATGAATAGCAATGTCTATATATCATTCTTTCATTCATTCGTATAACTAGTTCGGCTTTTTGAATTACAGGCTGTCAGTGTAATGTTCATAAGGCAAACTACCGAACGAGAAGCGTTCGCGAACCGAACGCACAAACAATTGGCGCTTTTTAAAGCTTTGCATTGCTTACAGATGGGGATAGTAGAAAAACCGAATGAACTAATGAACTAAAATGAACTGATTTGCCTCAATTCGTGTATTAGTTCATTCGTGCTTTTTCAAAGCATTGCATTGCTTTACATGGGGATGGTAGAAAAACCGAATGAACTAATGAACTAAAATGAACTGATTTGCCTCAATTCGTGTTTTAGTTCATTCGGATGCCTTGTATGAATCAAAGAGGAGGGGTATGGGAGTGAGCTGATTTTCATTTAACTAATCAGCTCACTCCTGTGACATGATGCTATAGGGGCTTATCCAATGGTGAGTGCTTTATCGGGGATTTAAAAAATAACTAAACAGCAGTATAAAAGCAGGCAGTGGAACTTTCTCCCCCCTTCTTTGACTGAGTTTTGTTGGTGACACACTGTGCTTTTGTGCTGTGTTAGCCTCATTGCTTGTCTTAGAGATCTTCTGTGAGTTTTGGTGTGTCTGCCAGTTCTCACTTGTTCAATTTGAGACTATTCCTGAGAATTATTTTTTTAATTTTAGTGCTTTTTGAAAGCTGTGCACTGCTGTGCTGCTGACTGAGTCAGTGTGCCACAAGGTGCCTGGCTGGCACTGCCAGTGCTTGCCTTCCCTGCTTGCTTACTGACTACAGCAACCAGGTATTACTTTTTTTTTTTTTTTAAATCTTTTTATTTAAAAATTTTTTATTTAGCTTAAAATTAATTAAGATTTAAAGTAAAGATAGAATCAGTCTTTAGCTTAGTGGGCCTGAGGGCTTCTGCCCTAGGGGTAGACTAGCTTGTTAGCTTGCTAGCCTAGAAGAAAAGAAATCTTAATCTAGTTTAGCTGTTGAGTCTTTTAGCAGCAAAGTTGATTA